AGGGAGAACACAGGGATCACGCGGATTGTACGCAACACGTGACATTTGTGCCTATAGGTATAGAACTTCCGCCACATCTCGTCCCCAGGAAAGTGTGGCACTTCCGACGGGTGGTCACCCACGGTGGGAAGCGTGACAATCTCCGGACAACCTGTGCAAGAAGCACACACCTACTAATAATCACGGAATGTCTCTTTATAAATTCGGGAAAAATTGCTCTTACTGCCGAGTGGGCGCTTTGTCGACGAGGGGGGGGGGCATTTTGCACTTTTGCTACTTCCCATCGACGTGTCGGCCTATCTAGACAGCCTCTTCTCGAGTTGACAGGTTTTAACATGATGGCTTGATACCTTGTTCCAGCTTCACAAGAGTTCACAGGTTTCAGAGTGAGACATGTAAACCGGAACTGAGGAAGCAATGATAGTGCAAAATGCCCCCCCCCCCGTCGAGAAACAGCGCCCTTACTGCCTCCTCCCCTCCTCCACCACCCCCTCCTCCACCATTGTACCCCTTGCCTTGGTACGACTCTCTTTTCGCCAACCACCTATAATCTTTCCAACTCTCACCGAATTCCGGCTAAAATTTCTTCTCAAAAAACCGCTTTGGACCGGAGGAAAGTACGAAGCGTCTGAAGTGGGAAAAATTAGCAATTTCATCACTATATTGTTATTGTAGGGTTTTGCATTTGCTTCAGAGCGTTTACTGGACATAAACAAATAAACAAATCTTGCGGAGAAAGAAACTGCTAGGATCCATTTTGTAACCAAGAAATTACACTTACCAGATGGGAACGACAAGACCGTCGATGCAGTTTCGGGTTGCGTCGGCAGCTGAACAGTTCGTGGCGACCGTGGAGTCGATTGCCACTATGGCCACGATGGCCGTCAGCAACCAGGCTCCCAGTCGAGCCATTTAACCCTGAAAGATTTTGATTCAAGGTAAATCACCTGTAGACGATCTGTCAGTGCAATCGAACTCATTATATACGAAAACGAAAAATCAAAGCAAAAGCACTTGGAACAAGCAATAGCTTCGAGAGAAACACATCGTAATGTCTGAGAAATCCCGTCACAAACACATGGTTTTCCGAGCAACACATGTGGGAAAGCATCCATGGAACACTAGCAGCGTGCATGGTCAAAAAAAGTTCAGCAGTGTTACAAGTACGAATAATTTCACACAAAAAATAAGAGGTAATTATTTTGACAAAATACGAGAAATTTCGTTAAAGCTTGGAAATGGGCCATCAGTAGACACTATGGTAGGGCCAGGAGACACCATCTCTCAGCAGCCCACGATTTTTCCCCTCTCCCATCTCAAAGACATTCTATCGCGGCTTCCACACGATCAACTGCTTCGGATTTCTGAGATAACAAAATCTTGGCGGTATCGAGAAAGGGCATGCCTGGGAAGAAAGTCAAATATGGCGCAAACTCTCCTTCAATACAATCCTCCCCCATATCTTCCTCTACGGACAAAAACTCCCCATATGTGTGTAGCAGCGGAGGTCGAACAGCACCGATCAACTACCAAAAATAGATTGTAAAATTGTCGGGCCGTCGGCAAAGGTGGATTGCCGAAAATAAGCAATAAAAAGTTCTTGCCAAAAAGTCAAGCCAAAGGGTCGTCAAGCCAGAAACGACCCTTGTCGAGGATTTCCGATGTGCGCTTGAGCCTGCTGCGGTAAGGTCGTATCTGATCGCTTTTGGTGGCTGTTCCCTGTATCCCCTTAGGAGAGGCTCCTCTGGAGAGCTGGAGACAAGGAGAATCATGTAGTTAAGGAAGTAGGAAAACTGAAAGTAAGGAGAAGGCTCTAAGTTGAAAGGTCTCGGAAAATGTGGACAAGGAGGACAAGGTGGTGCTCAAACAGCTCAGTGTTTCCGTCATGCTTGCTTCTCTGAGCCCAATTTTTGTTGCCTGGATCGAGCTCAAAGAGCAAGAGCTTTCATTTCCAAAAGGTCCGTGAACACAGCAATTTGTGTTTGTGAGCTCTAATGAGTTTTTTGAGAGGGTAAGTAGTAAGAGGATAGAGAAAGGAATCCTCTGGGGATTGCAAGCCGATGTGCAAAGAGGATTCGGCGACTCAGATCACTACCACATGGTCAGACGTCTTTAATCGCCGCTAAAAGCCTCATCGACTCGAAAACGTACGCCAGTTTTAGTGGAGAGATATCTTGAGCCCTGATGGATTCTTGGCAGATTTAAGTACGGTTGAGGTAAATGCTAAAGGAATAGAGCACCCAAATGAGGAAGAAAAGTTCAGAAGTGTAAAAAAAACTGGTTATTCTGGCAACAATTCAATGAGTTGGGACGTCATTTCGATCGAATTCCGATCGATTGCTTATGGATTAATGGACGGCGGATGATTATCGAAAAAGAGGACATTGAACAAGTTGGCGCAATAGGAGGGGGAGAGGGATAGAGAGAGGGTAGGAGCAAAAATCGGAGAATGCTCGTAGTGATAAGAGGATCGTCGCAATCGATCTCAAAATTGCTGAGATCTGGAGAGTCGCCCGCTGAAGGCAAACAGCATTTGCCAAAGCTGAGCCTCTTCCACTACGACTCGACCCCGATCTCAACGATCTCTACAGATCTCATCCCCAGAGGACCAGGGCTGATGATTGGGGGTAATCGAAAACCCTAAAAATACTTCAAAATTCAAAAGTTCAATGGGTTTCGACCCAGGAGTCATATCATTTATAAAAGAATGTTTATTGGTCAGAGCGTGAAAATAAAGGTCACAAGCCGTCAGGGTATGAGTGACAGAAAAAAAAGGAAAAGTGAAAGCAAAAAGGAAAGAAAGGAGGACAAAAGCGGAGGAATGATGATAGGAGCATTTTGAATAATAAATGTAAATAAATCCGCAATAATAAGAAGCGTCCATAGATAAGAGCGGTTTGTTTTAAAATTTTAAAAATGTTTTTTTCAAAATCATTTTTTACCGGTAAATTAAACCGCTCTTATCTATGGAATTTTACTGATCGAAAAATGAGCTCTTCAGTTCTATCCAAATCAATTCCGGTCATTTCCTAGAGAGATTCCGGCAGAAATTCCGTTAAAGTCGCTATTTTTCTATATGAATTGTTTATTAAGTGGGCGGGGCTTAGAGTTGAGGGCGGAGCTTCTTCTAAACTTCTTCTCCGATTTTTATTTATCCATCCATCAAGTTAGAGGGGTGACTGCATTCGTTTTCAATTTCATTCCAATTCATTTTCCACCGGTAAATTGAACCGCTCTTATTATCCTATGATTTTACGGTAAATAAAATGACGGCTGCAGCTCCCCTCCAAAAGCCTATATTCGATAAGTACGATAAGGCTTTCCTGGGCCGATTGATTAGTCCATAGATAATGAGTACCATGCGCTATACCAAAGCGCCTTTTTCACTAAGCTCGGCCGCTACTACCATTTTGAGGTACATATTGCCCAAGTAAGTCCAAATAAACGAAGATTAGGAACCTTACCCAAGTCCCGGCGCTGACGCTATGAGTGGCAACAAGGTAAACGAGATGGTAACAATTTATTTTTGGGTATCCTCGCAGCAACAGCGGATCGGAGGGTGCATCATCATTCGGGGCAGGCGGCCCGATTATGCAAACAGACAGCGCTACAAACATTACGGGAGTCCTCCCTGTGTTAGAACTGTGTGCACGTGTTGACAACGTTGGGGTATGCAGTAGCCCTAATGAGATATTTCCGGCCCGAAAGTTGGCGTTGATGGTGAGGGGTTCGATATCCAATCCAGACCTTACTGATATCTTACCCCCCTCTCCATAAAGAAGTTACTGTCGAGATGATGTGAAAGAGCCTATTCATTTTCAGCGGAAAAATGGAACAGAAACACTGAAACTTGTGCTTTGGCGGAGCGGAAACAGCTCAGGGATTAGAAGCGTCGCGCCTGGTTTCAAAAGCGACTAGACCAGCCAAATCCCCCAATCTTCGTGGGTCGATAGCCGGTACCAGACTCGCCAAGGAGGAGCGAAACAGTGAAAGGAGCGAAACAGTGAACATTGCCTGTTAGGCCCTTGCATAGGCCATACTTGCGTCAAAAAGATCCACCATCGTCTTTAATTGCTCACTAATTAATTCCTCAGTTAAAATCCTTCCACAGAAGATTTGTCACCCAGCTTGTCGTCCACTTGGTCACTCAAAGTTTTTTTCCACATCCGCATGGGATACGACCCACCCTTGTCTTTCTCTTCATTTCCCCTCACTTCCGACAGAAATTTCTCTGCAAGCCGTTCTGGCGGACCGGATCGGATGCAGAGCTACCCTTGGTAACTGCTCCTCAAAAGCGCTGTACCTGTGAGGGATCGTAAAAGGGGATGACAATTAACATATATAACTCCATATTAACGAACGTTTTTTGAGAGCCACTTGTCGCGGATAACATCGGATTAACTCTCCTAGGCCAGTCAAAACTTTTACCCTTCGGGCGATGGTTTGGTGCCAGATTCTCGTGGGAGGATAAGAACACTGACTTGTACATCGGCTGGCGCGCGCAATTTATTGTATAGGCATAATTGCACTCTGCTTTTATTTATAAAAGTAGAGCGCATGCCGCATCCTAAAAGGGAGTGGTTGACGGTGAGGAATTTACTGTCCCTTTAATTTGCCGTGACCTACCGACCATGAAATAACCAATGTGTGTTGATTGAAGGGAGTGTGGCGTAAGGTTAAGGCCTCAGGGTGAGGCTCCGCATCACTTCCCTGCTCTAATCCTTCCTGAGGCAAAGAACTCGTTCGCAGGACTGATCCAATCAGTGTAGAATGTTCGAGTGTCAAGGAATGTGTCCGCTGGCACATCAAGAGCTTGGGGTGAACGACACCTCCCCCACCTGAACAGGTGGCATTCTAGAGCTGCCAAAAGGTGTCAAAGCCATGCGGCGCCTAGGAATCAATCCGGAGATGTGCTACCTTGAGAGCAGCATGCAGGCGACACGTTCGAAAATTTTCAAAAATTCTCGCCTAAGTGTGAGACGGCCAGGTGGCATAACTATCAGTGGCTCCCTTCCCGAGCCCATAGTTTTCTACGATCTATATAGGCACTTCACTTTGGAGAAAGGCCTCA